CTTCCAGGCTTATATTAGAATCAATTCTAGAGCTACCATATTGCCTTTTTTTGAATGTCATTGTTGAAGGTATTCGTGTAAAACCACGAAGGTAAATGCTTTCCTCCCAATTGGGTTCCAGAAAAAAGGTAAACTATTAAACATGTTCCCTCACCCTTATAAGAAGCTGTTCAAAAAACTGTTCGGAAACAAAAAGGAGATAAGTTTCTGACTGTGACCATGTAACTTTCCCCTGCAACTAGAAAGAATGAGAATATTTCTACTTACATCAAGGGGAGCATAGTAGCTAGAATGCACAACTAGCCCTGATAATTTCTTAGCGGTGGCTTACCCAGGTACTAACATGCTGCGCTGTAAGTTATAGCACCTCTCCGGTGATTCTAGATCAGTAAATATGGAGCATATAAAATATGTTTCTATACTAAGGGAAGAGTGAGGTGCAAACCAGCCATTCTTGGATACTTCCTATGCACACACATTAAGCACTTCTCGTTTCTTGTACCATCCTTGTAAAGTGAGAGGTATTTTCTTCCTTTTTAGAGATGAGGAAATGGAGATTAAAATAAGCATTCCTCTTGTTATGAAATTCTATTTTCACGCATTTGCCTCTCATATTAATCTGTATGGTCACCACAGCAGGCCAGGTATATTTGTCATTTTACTTCAGTTTCTAAAGGAGTGTCTGGCATGTAGTAGGTGTCCTGCAAGGTTTCCTAAAGTGTGAAAGGTAACTTGCCCTAGATCTCATAGCGAAAGAATGGTGCTCTTTTCAAAAGCCTGTGCTCTTTTCCACTGTGCCCCACTGCCTCTCTGCTCCCTGTCACCTCAAGAATGGGTTAGGAAACAGCACTGGCATTTGTGTAAATATCTCTTTAGTGGTTTTAAAGACTCCCAAGGTATATTTGACTTATAAATCAATCTTTGTTTAATGCTTCTGAGTTCGGGGTAATTTCCCTCATGTGATTTGTGAATTACTTTCAGTAATAACCAGGCTATACTTAACTCAAGGCCAGTTGCTCAACTATATTATTTAGTCTTTGTCCATATTCTGTAGTTCTGTGATCCTAAATTTGGATACCTTATAGCCTGCTAATCACATTTCCTAATGAATTTATCCAGTGAGAGTCAGGCAGTGTACCAAAGTGGAAAGATCATGGACTTGGAAGTCAGATGACAGTCTTTATCCCAGTCTCACCATTTGTCCTTTGTGTAATTTTACCAAACTATTTAACCTCTCTGTGCCTCAGTTTTCTTATTTCTCAAAAGGAAGTAATTATTTCTATCTTATAGGGTGGTTTGAAGATTAAAGTTCAAATGAGATAATATGTAGAATGCCTGATGCATGACAAGCACTAGATAAATGGTGCTTTTTATTTATTTATGTTGACACTTTGGAATGATGAGCCAAGTCTATGAAGAGAAAGTTTGGTTAGAATAAATGTAGTCTAGAACTTGGTACTAAATACACAAAAATACAAAGTTGCAGTATGGGAGATGTGGCTTATTAGTAACTTGTGGGAAGGGCCTCCCTTGAGGTCTCAGTCTGAGTCAGCAGTATTATGTAGCAGCCTAAAAAGGTTTTAAAGATAGCATCCTGATCCTCCCAGAGAGGGACAGTTCTTCTCCACACAGACTCTCCCTGGAATCTCTGTTTCAGTTTTAAGGCATGAGTATTTAAGGGAATCACTGAGTAAGCAGTCTGTCAAAAGAGACACAATCAGAGTGTTAAGAAATCGTGAGCCCATGACACATGAAAAGAGTAGATGGCTTGAAGAGATTTAGCCTGCAGTATGTGTTACAAAGTGGAGATTAGGGGAATGGAGGTTGAAGTGATAAAATAAGCATCAATTTCTAAAGGATTATGTTCGACTTGTTCCCTATGACTTAAAAGGTAAAATGATGACCAGGATATAAGTTGTATGGAAGAGATTCAATTAGCCTTTCTCTCAAGGGATTAAATGTATATAAAAATTGAGACTGCCTGCCTTGGTTTTTGGTGATAATGCAAAGGTCAGATAAGTATATTGCTAGGGTGCCATAAAGGAAATTCATTGTCATTTCTTTCTTTTTTTTAAATTTTATTTATTTATGATAGTCACAGAGAGAGAGAGAGAGAGAGAGAGAGAGGCAGAGACACAGGTAGAGGGAGAAGCAGGCTCCATGCACCGGGAGCCTGACGTGGGATTTGATCCCAGGTCTCCAGGATCGCGCCCTGGGCCAAAGGCAGGCGCCAAACCACTGTGCCACCCAGGGATCCCTCATTGTCATTTCTGTTTGGAGATTAAACTAGAACTAGATGATCTTCAAGACTCTCCAACCTTGATATTTTTTTATTTTTATACCCATGCCAAGTGTAGAGTGTGGAGTATATAAAGAGTGATAACCAAACCAAATCCTTCCTCTATAAAGCACCTTACATTTTAATTGTAGGAATAGCATACATTTCAAAAGTTCTTAAAAGTGTTAGGATGAAGTCATAATAAGAGAATGTCATAGGGCTGATTATGATTATTTGCTAAGTGAATGTTAGAATTCAATGCTTTTCAACCTTTTTTTATTACTCCAAGTTTTAATTTAAATTCTAGTCAGTTCACATGTAATGTAATCTTGGTTTCAGGAGTAGAATTCAGTGATTCATCACTTACATATAAAACCCAGTGCTCATCTCAAATCTTTAATCCCTCTTTAATCCACATCACCCGTCTAGTCCATCCCCCACCCACCTCCTTCCAGCAACTGTTGTTTGTTTTCTGTAGTTAAGAGTCTCTTTCGGTTTGCTTCCCTCTCTTTTTTTATGTCTTATAAAGCACTAGTCACTCTCAAACTGAGTGCCATAATCTCAGGGAGAAAAAAGAATATTTCTGTTTCCAGGTTATTATGCTATCATTTATAATAAATGTCAAGGCTTAAAATTTTTGATAATTATCAAAGCTTATTAAATAAACTTGTTAATGGGCAGATGATATGAAAGTCCAGGTGCTACACTGAGATTTTAAGGTTAGAACTAAGGCAACTGAAGATCGCAGTAGGATAAAGTTTTATTTTTATAAAATTTTTTATCTTATTCCATAGCAGACATTATGTCCACCAGGGTTAAGACAGGACAAAACCAGTATTTGGTGAAATTAGATCATCTGCATAGAGATAAATGCTTTTACTCATAAGAAACTGGTTCAGCACATGTGAGATCAGGGGTATGTGGGAAATCTCTGTACCTTTCATCAGTTTTGCTGTGAACCTAAATCTGCTCTAAAAAATAGTCTATTAAAACTGGTTCACATCTTTATTATTTTAAATTAATGGAGCCAAATTTAGTAATTAAACGGAGTCTAATTTATGAAACTCTGAACTCATGGCAATTTCCAGGAAAAGTGACCGTCAGTAAACTGGAAAGACCGTACTTACCCACTCATTCAGTTAATCAGAATTCTTAACATCTTCAGCTGAATGTTATATGTAGTTTGTCAGTGGGGTTAGGAAGAGAAGAGGATTATGAGGTTTATTTCAAGAACATCAACACTTGTTTGTCATGGACCCTAGAAAAGCAAAGCCAGTGTTCATTCAGCAACCAATGTATATGGCAGGCTTAACTCTACATTGGGACAGATACTTCCAGCTAAAGTAGCTTGATGATGACTGATGACTTTCTATCCATGAGTTGTGTCCTCCAGCTAAGACCATCTGCTCTCCAGAGCAACTTCGGATTATCATTTGGTTTCCCTTTTTGAGGTGCCTATTGGGAACATCTGTAGTTCTTATTATATTATAAATATTCATTAGGGAATACTTATATATCTAAAATTCATTTAAAAAAAAACTCATTTAAGGGGCACCTGGGTATCTCAGTGGCTGAGTGCCTTCAGCTCAGGTCGTGATCCTGGGGTCCTGGGATCAAGTCCCACATTGGACCCCCTGCAGGGAGCCTGCTTCTTCCTCTGCTTGTGTCTCTGTCCCTCTCTCTCTATCATGAATAAATAAATAAAATATTAAAAAACAAAAAGTCTCGAAAATATTGAATGTCTCTTTCCTCATCAGTAAAATGGGGGAGTAAATTAATTCATCTCTAAAGAGTTCCTTACTTCTAAAGTTCTGTAGCTTTATCTTTTTTAAAGATTTATTTATTTATTCATGAGAGACACAGAAAGAGAGAGAGAGAGGCAGAGACACAGGCAGAGGGAGAAGCAGGCTCCATGCAGGGAGCCTGACGCGGGACTCGATCCCAGGTCTCCAGGATCACACCCTGGGCTGAAGGCAGCACTAAACCGCTGAGCCACCGGGGCTGCCCAAAGATCTGTAGCTTTATAAAATTAGTTCAGCCCTAAACAAAGTATTAGAATTAATTTTTTAAATTTTATGTATTCATGAGAGACACATACAATTATTTATTCATGAGAGACACACAGTTATTTTGTGTTATTTTGCCTGGACATAGTTGTAAATTTTTTGCCTGGACATAGTTGTAAATTTTTTTTTAAGATTTTATTTGTATTTCTTTGATAGCACAAGCAGGGATAGTGGCAGGCAGGGGGAGAGGGAGAAGCAGGCTCTCCACAGAGCCGGGAGCCCAATGCAGGGACTCTATGCCAGGGCCCTGGGATCACAACCTGAGCCAAAGGCAGATGCTTAACAGACCCCCCCTCCCCAGGCACCCATAGCTGTAAATACTTAATGATATAGTGTGCTATCCATACTACATGGTTAAAATTTTTTTGATGATTTAAAATAGATGTGTATAGTTTGGTCCTATGTGTATATCCTCTAATTTATAAATATGGATACATAAATAAGTATACACACATTTATAAATTAGATACAGCACTGTGTTGATTATTGATTGGTTATTATTGATTATCCCTGAGTAGTAAGATTACAGGTGATTTTTATTTTTTCTTCTTTTTCCTCCATAATTTCTATTTTACCAGCTAAATTAATTTTACAATAGAAAATAGCATACAAATCTAAAAAAAACCCAAGGTGTTTTATAAATTGTTTTAATTCAGCACTCTATGAAACCTAACACATTGAAGGAAGATCCAACAAGGGACCTGAAACAACTTCTCCAAGAGTTGAGAAGTGTGATCAACGAGGAACCAGCTGTGCCTCTGGGCAAGCCTGAAGAAGAAGGGAGAGCACCATCCCTGGGAGTCTCATATGTGGCTGTGTAAGACTGGGTGTACTGCAGAATGGTAGAGCTGCTCTCATCAGGGGTTTGCCATTAGTTGTCTATGTGGTATTGTGTCAAGGTTGAGGTTTAACTTCAAAGAGTATCTGATGTTACCAGGGAAGACAATATGAAAGTGGAAGAGCTAAGCCAAAGTAAAACAACTTGATATGAAGAGCAATCATTACAGTAACTCTGTTCAGAAAGAAGTAAGTCAAAGCAAGGTGTTAGCCAAAGTCACGTTAGTATAGTAAGTTGTAGTTCCTGACAGATTTTACACCCATAAGCTTATTTGATCATCACAGCAACTGTTTGAACCAGGACAGGGCAGAGTTTATTTATCTCATCTAAAAAAGTGAGAAGAAAGTAAGCTTCACAAAGTTGACATGCTTGCGGCCACACAGTTCAATAGTGGAGCTAAACCAGAATCATGAGAATTACAAGTATAATCTAATAGGGTTCAGGTATAACCTAATAGGAAAATCCTTGGTTCTCTAGGGATTCATGCCAATGACTTATACCAGATTAGTAAAAGGTCACACCCAAAAATGACTGAACCAGTTCACCAGCCCTTCCCTGTAGATACAGATATCAATGAGATTCTCATATTCTTTTCAAATAGTGTTTTAAAATTTTATTGTGTTATTAGATTAACAAATCATTTTAATAGAGTATATGCTATATTATACACAGTGTACAGTATACAGTAAATACACTGTATTTAATACAGAGTACTAATTGTATACTAGTTCTTAGTATTGTAACAGCTTGTTGTAATATTCATTTTCTGGATATCTGGCAAATATCTAAAAGTAATACTTTCTGAAATAATACACATATATAAACAATCTCCAGTTTCTTAAGGTGTCAAATTATTATATGTGAACCTGAAGTAGCTAAGTATTAACTGGATTTATTTAATATTTATTAATAGTATTATTGTAACAGTGAAATAGCACAGCCCGGTTACGTAGCATAACATTGTATTCTCCGAATCATATGTCAGAAACATTCCACTGGCTGCTCCTCTGAGGAGTACATATATGTTCAGAGCATTTTCATTTTTGTGGGAACTCTGTAATATGCCTTCTAAGCCAGGGCAGTATTACTAAGCTCATTTGACAAATGAGGAGGTTGAGGCATAGATTGAGTTGCCTTCTTCTCTGAAGCAAAGAGGCAAAGCCAAAAGTAACAGAGCCCCTGGCTCCCAGCACTAATCATTCCACAAAAGTTGCTGTGATTTCCCTGATCAGAGGATTTCCAGCACTTTAGCCACTAATTGTGGACTTGAACTCTATTGGACTGTATTGAACATGAATATATTTGTCTCCTTCCTTTAAAGAATGTATGTTAATTTGCTGTGATTGTACAAATGACCTTGTCACCAAAGCCTCATCTCAGCCTGAAGCTTTTAAGGGTCTATGAAAGCATGTCTGAGTTGATAAAATCCAGGGGCGGCTTTCTGCAAATTTGCTTGGAGGCCTAAAATCTACTGTTGTGCTTTAAGGAAGAATTATTTTATTTTATTTTATTTATTTATTCATGAGAGATAGAGAGAGAGAGAGAGGCAGAGACACAGGCAGAGAGAGAAGCAGGTTCCATGCAGGGAGCCCAACGCGGGACTCAATCCTGGGACTCCAGGATCACACCCTGGGCCGAAGGCAGATGCTAAACTTCTGAGCCACCCAGGGATTCCTAAGGAAGAATTAAATACATATGAGCAATTAATTATTCTAAAAATACATGGAATCTGGAAATTGTTCTTTGTATAATTTACTGAGAGTTAACATTTATCTATACAGAGATGATAGAGTAAGATATTGCATTACTGAATCAAGCCTGAGATTAGAGATAACCTATAGGTAAGAAGAATCTGAGATTCTGAGTCTAATTAATTGTCCAAAGAATTTTTTTAGATTTCCAGTGAATTTGTGAAGTCTGGACAGTTTACATGGGGATTGATGGGCATTTGGGCTTTAAAGTTAAAGCTATTATGTTAAATCTAAGGCGGATTCAATGTAATGTATTTTCTAGAAATCAGGAATTTTTTTTGGCTTATTTTAAATTTTGCTGCTGTTTACCCATACGAAGATATTTACATGGTATGCCATACCAAATATAGAAGAGTTTTTTCTATGTTTGTACTCATTTACAATGGCTTATATAACTTTTGAGAGGAAGGTAGTCTGGAAGGAAAGTCTAAGAACCTCAGTATAGGATTCTAAGAACCCCACAGAGAACAATTGTGTTTTCCTCAGTAATTGAATAGCTGAATTGTTAAATGAAATCCTAAAAAGAGCACAAAGAAATGAAATCCATAACCCCTCAACAGAGACAGCCTCCTTTTTTTTAGCCAAGGAGGAAAACAGCTAATATTAATTTGTTACTCATGTAAGACACAGAGGACATTACTGTCGGATCTTCATCAGCCCACACTGCCTGCTGCAGTAGGGAACTGGTTCCCTGGTCTGACATTGAAGGAGGGCTCCCTAACTTATCAGCAACCCCCTTAGCTCCCATAGTGTGCTCTAACCCAAACAGACTATTCCTGGTTCCCAAAAGGAACCATTCCTTTTGTTGTCAAGCTTTTCTTCACATTGTTTCTCTACCTGGAAAAGCCAGTGGCCCAGTCTCACTCTTTGAGTCAGTGTTGGTGTAAAAGCAACATTCAGAGAAACAATGTTGTCTTATCATTAAGTAAAAATTACACCATGTAGCCTTCATCTTTCCCATCCTTTTGCCAACAGAAGCAACAACTCATTAAGGGACTCCACTGAAGGTAGCAAATCCAGTGACACTCTTAGCAGGTAAGAAATGATCTTACCAGCCCCTGACTGTACAGGACTCCACATTTCTACTATTTACTCCTTATTTCAATAGATTGTTAACTACCTGTGATGTGCCACCCTCGACGTTAGGTCCATAAAATGTAACTGTGGGCAAGACTACATGTATTTATGGTTTATTGACTGACTGCCTTCCAAAGCCCAAATGCCCAAAAAACTGACTTTTATCTTTTAGATTTTTATCCTCCTAAAAAGAAATAGAGATATCAGAGCCTTTCATATATCTTGAGAATATGAACATGAATTATGTTTAAATCCAGTTAGGCAGAGGCTTATTCCTTGTGGTATCTTCAGCACCAGCCATTTGCCTGACACAGAGTAGCCATTTAGTAAAACGTTTGTTTAGTGAGTGAATTAAGACCGTATTATAAATACTTTCTTACTGTCTCTACTGCTTGATCAATACATACAGTGGACTTGAATCTTTCTAAATGTACCTTTCTCTTAAATGAGTTGGCGTGTTCTTCTCACCTAGCCATCTTACACGACGTGGAGCCTATTAATAGTATCTGCAGCTATCTACTGCATATTTTTATTTACATTTTCTAAGTGCTTTAGACTTACTTCATTTAGTCTATCTAACTTAATCTTTGACTTACGCATTATTATGTCCATATATGTGTTAGAAATGAAGACTCAAGATTGCTTAAGCAACTTGCCAGGGTCATATAGCTTGTACCGTTTGAACTCTGGTCCTGCCAGCTCCTGAGCTCAAGCATATGAGCACCTCTGTGTGTCTAGACTGAGCTCTCTGGGAAGGAGCCCAGTCCTCAACATGAGGCACAGAGGGATTACTCCCCTAAGATATGTGAAGCTCTGCTATAGTTTTTCCACGACCAGCATGTTGTAGAAATCTGTTCCTTTCAGGAATGATGTGTTTGTGAAGCAAGAGAATGAGGAGGAAAAGCTGGGACCTGGCCCCTTCCTATGTTCAAATAGGTTTTCTTTCTTTCTTTTTTTCTTAAGATTTTATTTGAGAGAGAGAGAGAAAGAGAAAGCACAAGCAAGAAGGAGGGAACAGCTAAGGAGGAAGGAAAGAGAATCTGAAGCAGACTCCCTGCTGAGCAGGGAGCCTGATGATCTCATGACCACAAGATCATGACCTGAGCCCAAACCAAAAGTCTGCCTCTCCCTAACTGAGCTGCCCAGAAGCCGTGGGAAGAAGAGGTTTTCACATATTTTATAGAAGCTCTGAAATGTATGAAACACACTAGAAGATCAAAGATGCATTTAAATACTCTCTACAATGGCAGATTGGCCATTTTAAAAACTCACACTTATGTGAGTTTCTTTATAGAAAATGAGAAAGAATATCATAGTTACTGTTTTACTGTAACAGTTCACTCATTGCATCACCTTTGCTTTTACTCAATACCTTACAGCAACGTTTCTTCACTTAGAAACCTCTGCAACCTTTTAAGTTAAATCAATATAGTCCATATACCAGAACAGAATAAAAAATTAAAGAAATGAGCACCTCTGGTATGTGGCTTTGTGCTTGAATTATTCTGAGAGCTACATGTCTCAGAAGTGTTGTGGAGAATTGACTTTTCTTATTTTGTTATATTATTAAAACTTAATGAGCAACATTATGACCTAAGGAAGATTTCCAATAAAGGCTTCGAAACATCTAGCTCCCCTTTACACATCTCCATATGGATGTTTCAGGAGCTGAAACATAAAGACTGGAAGATCATAATGACCAAAATGAAACAAAGGCAATCATTTCACAAAACCATTCCCCCCATCTTGTCTTCTGTTTCTGTCAATGGAGTCCTGCTTTCCAGGGCACCTCTAACATTATCTTTGATTCTTCTTCCTCCTTTGTCTTGTTTCTCTAGCCACTAAATCTCAATTAATTTCAACTCTAAAACAGTTCTCAAATTCATTTTCTTCTTTGTACATCCTCTCCAGCTGCCTGTTTTAATTCCCTATGGCTGCTGTAACTAAATTAGTGGTTTAAACCACACAGATTTATCTTTCTTACATTTCCAAGGAAGCCCAAAGTCCTCAATCAGTTCCACTGGGTGAAGTTAAGATATTGGCAGAGCCACACTCTCCAGAAGCTCTTGGAGTTAAACCATTTCTTTACTTTTTTCAGCTTGTAGAGTTTCATTCCTTGCACTCTAGGTCATGGCTTCTCCCTTCATCTTCAGATAGCAGCATAGCACAGCATCTCTGTCTGCTGAGTTGCCACATTGTCTTCACTGTCCCGAATGAAATCTCCCCCTGCCTCCCTCTTATAGACCCTTGGGATAACCTCCCAGATAACCCAGGATAATCTCCCCACCTCAAGATCCTTAATTTCATCACATCTGCAGAGAGACTCTGTTGCCATGTAAGGTAGCACTTGTATGTTTTTGAAATTCAGAAGCAGATCTACATGGTGGCCATTACTGAGCCTACCACACTGCATTAGGCCTTGTTCCCTTTCTTAGGCTATGGTGGTGGCCTTGATGGTGTTTAGTGTGGCTGTTTTAGAATTTCCAGTCTCTTGCATGTTCTCGTCACTTCTATATATCAATTTCAAATTGATCTGCCTAAAGCACACCTCAGACTATTCAAAGGCACCCTACTGCCTACTGCAGCAGAAACAAACTGCTCTGATAATTAAGGCTATCCATAATATAGCCATGAAACTTCCTTTCCAGGGCTTTTCTCCTAATGTTGCTATTCTCAAACTTTTTGGTCTCAGACCCCCTTTGTAGTCACAAATATTGAAGATTCCTAAGAACTTTTGTTTGTATAAGTCATTTCTATTGCTATTCTAAGTATTGGGAAATAAATTATCATATTAAGCATTTTAAAAATGTAAAACCCTTTGATATACATTTAGAAATAACTATATTACATGTTGACATAATGGCATTTTATTATAAAAAATAACTTTTTCAAACAAAAAATTGTTGAGAAGGCATTGTTTTACAATTTAATATGTGGCTTAATAAAAGATAGCTGGGTTCTCATGTCTACATTTGCAGTTAACCTCTTGTGGTGTCAGATACTGTGATACCTCGGGGAAACTCCACTATACACTCGTGAGAGACTGAGAATTAAAAAGATGATAATAATATCTTAGTGTTATAATTAAAACAGTGTTGACATCACAAACCCCCTGCAAGAAAACTACCACCATAATATTCTTTTTTTTCAACATATGATTTCACTCATATGTGGAAATTTTTTTTTTAATTTTTTTTTTAAATTTATGATAGTCACAGAGTGAGAGAGAGAGAGGCAGAGACATAGGCAGAGGGAGAAGCAGGCTCCATGCACCGGGAGCCCGACGCGGGATTCGATCCCGGGTCTCCAGGATCGTGCCCTGGGCCAAAGGTGGGCGCCAAACTGCTGCGCCACCCAGGGATCCCCCCACCATAATATTCTTGTACCGTTACCCAAACCACAGAGAACAGTGTGGTTTATTGCAACTCGATTTAACTAAGTGATAGTTTTGTAAAGTGATATTGCTGTTGCCAAAAGAGGTTCCTGTTTTTGTCTTTGTGGGCTTTTTTTTTTTTTCTATTTTAAAATAAGTTACTGGGATTGTATCTCTTAGAATCTATGAGAGAAATATTTGGGTTATAAGCTATTATCACCAAAAAATGAATTGTATAACCAATATTACTGCATGTCTATTCTGCAGAATGTTCATGGGTACCTAATGCATAAAAAAAAAATGCAACTTTGGGTCTCCCCCTTAGGGTATTTTAGGATTTCTGCAATTTAGGATCATAGCTGCCATCTTTTGTTTATATTTTAAGATGTCACTTTTGTGTGCATTAGCTTGCTTCTGTCCATAAATCTAAGCACTGTGTTTGTGAAATGGAATGTTTGCATGACCATCCTTATGTTCCAGAGAGCCAGTCACATTACACACAGGAGACTTGGAAGATCCATCTAGTTGCTTTACATTCCCATCTACAGGTGAGTAGTCAATGAAAGTACAGAAATTGGGCCTGCCTAAAACTCTGCAGTGGCTTCTCATTTTCATGAGAGTAGAAGCGGGTATGACTGTAGCCTGTAAGTCTCCATTAACTCTCCAGTCTCATTTCCTCCTCCTCCTCCTCCTCCTCCTCCTCCCCCTCCTCCTCCTCCTCCCCCTCCTCCCCCTTCTCCCCCTCCTCCCTTTCCTCTACTCTGTTTCATCCTCCAAGGCCTTTATGCCACTGTCCCTTGCATTGCTCAGATGCCACCTACTCACTGAGACTACTCTTACCACCTTCTGTAAAGATTGTAATTCTGCCATATTCCCAGTCATCCTTTTTCTTTTTTTAAATCACACTTAGTATCTTTCAATACATAACTTACTCATTTATGTTGTTCATAAAGATGACTGTGTCACCTCCTGCTAAACAAAAGCTGCACAAAGGCAGATGTCTTTGTTTGGTTTCCTGATATATACTAGGCACATAGCAGGTGCTCAATAAATACTTATTGAATGGATGAAAACAAAAAGAATTGAGACAGATGGTTCTCTTTATCGTTTCCAAAGACTTATAATCCTGTCTGCAAAATAAGGAGGTCAAGGAAGAAATTGAAAGATAACAGAATCTGTTGAAAAGCAAAATGTCGTAACAGACTGGAAATGGAAGAGAAAAATAAAAACATTACAAGAGAAAGCCTTGAGAAAAATAGAAATACAATAGGCATGACTGAAATCACATAGACTTGAAATCACCAGACCTCTTAGAGAAAATGACACAAAAAGAAAGATGAAAAATAATTACAGAGAGTATATTAGATTTGGAAGGTATAAGTTGTCATCCTATAGAAGATAATGAAATGAATAGGAAAGAATGAAACTGAAAATGATATTCAACAGAAGTCTAGGTATAAATCTGGACAAGGATACAAGGAAAATTGAGGTGTGAGGTGAAAGAGATAAAAGAAAGATAAGTTTCCAGGTTTTCTTGTTTTTATACAAGATTGTCAATATATATCTAAAATCAAAACATAATAGTTTTCAATAAAATGTCAATTTTTAATTTTTAAATAATCTTTAACTTATGAGAAATCTTTTATGAACTAATACTTTGAAGAAAAAGCATTTATTTGAAATTAAATTATTTGAAATTTCACTTACATGTTTTTACTGTTGTTTTGATAATTACCCAAGAGAATACAACATATATCTTTGCCTTATTAGATTAATACACACGAATGCTTTTACCTTTTCTCCTGTGTCGTGAGTACTTCAGAGCATCTTAATTCCATTCACTATCCTTTCAAGTTACATACAATTGTTGTCGCATATATATTTTAACTATAAAGGTGAATACCACAATGGATAATTTTCATTATTTTGTACAGTTAACATCCATTTAGGTATACCCACATACCTATAATTTACCTTCTACCTGGTATCGTTTTACTCTTGTGCCTTTAATTTTTCCTTTAACAGAAGTCTGTTGGTGATACACTCTCTCAGTTTCTGTTTTTCTGCAGTTGTCTTTATTTCATCCTCATTTTTGAAGGATATTTTTGTTGAGTATAGAATTTCAAGTTGACATTTTTCCTTCACTTTGAAAATCTTCCTTTTTTTTTTTTTTTTTTTGGCTTCCATTGTTTCTAAGAAGTCAGCTCTAAGTTTAATGGTTGCTCATTTTAATGTAACCTATTTGTTTTTGCCCTTTTGGCAGCTTTAGGATTGTTTTTGTCTCTGGTTTGTTTTTCGAGGATGTTTTTTAGCAGTTTTTATTACATCCAGTTATGGTTTTTCTTTATTAAGAAGAGCCCATTTGGGGTTTGAAATAATGCTGCTTAAGTCTGTGCTTGTCTGGGATTCCATTATCTAGACCTTGTGGGTCTGCGTCTGTGATCTGTATTTTTTTCCTCTCGGTTTTCTGCTGTGTCATTTTGTCCCCTTCTATGCTTAGTTATTTTTATCGTATGATAGATATATTTGCAAAATTATACAGATACTCTGCAGCCTAGAATAAGGCTGCCTTCCTCCAAATGGCATTTGTGCTTGCTTCTGGTAGACAACTAAGAACACCATAGCCCCAGGTCAGTTTAATCCAAACAGAAATTAAGAGAATTTGAAGCTGGACCCCAGGACCCCCAAGGGCAGGTCTTACACCTTTGCAGTTCTAACCCAAAGCCTTGGGTATTTATCAGAATGTCCCCTCACCCCCATCATTGGGAACATTCACTCATGAAAGTTTGACTTTTTAAGAGGGGCAGTATACTATTTTTTATTTAAGATTTTATTTATTTATTTATTCATGAGAGACAGAGAGAGAGAGGCAGAGACACAGGTAGAGGGAGAAGCAGGCTCCATGGAGGGAGCCTGATGTGGGACTCCATCCCGGGTCTCCAGGATCAGGCCCTGGGCTGAAGGTGGCGCTAAACCGCTGAGCCACGTGGGCTGCCCCGTATACTATTTTAAATTAATTCTGTCCTTTTATTTTTGTTCTTGCCAAATTTTAGCAAGTCCATCTGTGAAAAACTCAGCTTCTCATTCATTCCATTCTTCTCCTAAGAAGTCTCCAGTTCACTCACTCCTAACTAGTTCAGTTGAAGATTCAGTAGGTTCCACATCACAATATAGAGCCACAAAACCTGTTCATTCCTCTGCTTCTGTTAAAGGTAAGAATGATCTGGTGTCTCTGATGAGATTAATTGATTTCCTGCTCTGGTGAATTGAAAGTTCTTTTCCATAATCAGAATTAATAAACTTTTACATGGTGATCTTATGTGCAAGCTCTAACTGATGCTGTGTAACTTGAGTCTTATTTAAATAAAACAGTTATTGTGCGTGCACACGTGCACACGCACACACACACACTCTCCTTAATAAATATGCAGAGATATCATATGTGAATATTTTCTCTTTCTTTCTCTAACATGAGTAAGGAACTTTTCCCCCCTATTTTATGGTAAGATTTTGGGTCTTTTTTTTTTTTTTTAATACTATGAGTTTTCTTATTTACATTCTCTAAAACTATGGCTCTTTTCAGTCTCTGCTTTTTTAAGGGCAAGTATCTATCATACAAATTTGTCAAAATGTTCTCATTTTTAAATTTTTAAGTTGATATTTGCTAAAACAGATGAGAAAAATGTTTGATTTAGATTTAAGTGCATGATGAGTAAGTGGACGATAGATATATGTATGTATATGTCGAATTAAACTTGAAATGTCTTTACAATATATGACAGCAACACCGATAACCCCAATGCTCTCTTGCATCGATCCCTTTGATAAGGGATAAGCTGGGCAAACTGTTGCATCACTCTTAAGTCAGGTCTTAGTCCTGAGAAATTCTCTGCCGCACACATTTCTAGATTCACCCCAAAATAAAAATCACAGCCTAATCACAGATTTTAATACATTTTCTTTTTTGTCATCTTTTTTCCTGCATTTTGTTCTCCTTCCTCTCTTAATGTTTCTCAGTTATCCTTTAGTATTTTTAAAAACTTTAGAGCAGCAAATTCTTTAACTATTAGAGCAGTGACTATTGTAGGAGTAGAACAATGTTTCTGGTCACCTCATTATTGTGATTACATGATAACATGGCATTTTTTTCTACTGTCAGATATTCATCACATACATATTATCTATGTGAAAACTCTCTGAGTAACTGTTTTTCATCCTCTGAACTAAAATGATTCTTAGATGATTGCCTTTAATATTAACATCTCTGTACTGAAAAGGTTTTTTTAATGGGAAAATGAGCCACCAAAAAATATTTTCAAGATTATACAGCAAGGCAGGGACTAAGATCAAAATTAAAAATTCAAGATTGTCAATCAGTCTTTTTAGGGATTGGCAAAACAGCATGCTTATTAGAGTTTAGCTTATATCCTTCTAGCCCCTCTTGACTTGCTACTGCCGCACTTATTCTAGGTTCACTGCAGCCATGTCAGCATCTGTACCCTTTCCCACCAAAGAACACTGTCCTCATTCAGGTGACAGCCAATGGATATGGGTACTTGGTCTCACACACATTCAAAATTGTTGGCAGTATCAGTATTAATCTTGCTCTTCCAAATCCTAAGTTAATGGAGCTACTCAGGTTTGGTATGAAAAGCTGTCATTTATAATGCAGAATGTATCATTACATTTAAAGTACTCTCACTCATCCCATTTAATGCTATGTAGTTAAATAATAACAAATCAGATTGGTTTGAAACAATCAAATACACTAGTATTGCAATATTTAGATAAAACACTTTTTATTTTTAAATAGTGTTTTAAAGTTTCCATTATTCTAGAGGAAAGGTTGTTTAGCCTGTCATTGGAAGATTTCTAAAAAGAAATACTGAACAGACTTTTAATATCACATCTAAGCAATTTTCTAATAGCTTCACAGTCTCAGCCAATAGAAACAACAGGAAAAACATGCAGAAAGCTTCAGAACAGACTGGAAAGCTTGCAAACTCTGGTAGAAGATTTACAGATGAAGAACCAAGGTACCGTGTACATTTCAGAGAGATCTTCCTTGCTCAAAAGAATACTCACCTTCCCTTCAGGTTAAGCCTTCTATCTATAGACTGGCTGAGGAGGATATTGAATATGCAATTCAGAAGCCTCAGTCAAAATATGAAGATCTTACCCATGACTAACCCCTGGATTGATGTACAACCCTGGGGAGGTCACTTAAGCCCCGCTCTATTCTGTCATCTAATAAGGGTGATAATACTGCTGAGCAATCCTCAGGATACATTTTGAGCAGTTTTTCACATGAGACTTCCCCACACACACTCTTTCTCATCTCCGTTAGGTCTGTACGCAAGCCTGTGTATGACAGGATAACATTGCAGTTGATAGCTAGAAAAAATAAATTTGTTTCACTTTACGCGGGAGTTGAATTAGCATAGACCAGAAGAGACTGCCACCCAATGAATCCCTTAATAAAAAGATAAACTACTTTTAAATGTACTAAAGCTGTTTGAATGAAAACTGTCGTACTCTGCAGATGGTGGGCAACTTTTGGGGCATAAGTTCTAAGTGGATGTTCCCATGGATGTGGGAGGTTATGGATATGTTCCAAGGATTTGGAAGGGCTGTCGTGTTTTGTGCTTTTCTGGTATAATCCATGAATCCAGAAGCCTTTGTCAGAAGTAATTTTGGAGTATACTTGTTATTCTTAGCCTATTGTTCCATCTCTAGGAAATATAAGTTGCTAGATGAAGGGTATAAATACTTTTCTAAGAACAATTCCTTCTAAAGTAAGTTTAACCCTTATTAGTAATAATAGTAGCTATTGGTATTTACTGAGCAATTACCAGCTACGCACCAGGCCCTGTACTCAGTGCTTGACTTATGTTTTCTTTATGTGAGCCTCATCAATACTGGGAGGTGGGTGCTAATATCAGGTCATTCGAAAATGAGGAAACTGAAGATCACATCACAATCAATAAGTTGTAAGTCACACAATGAGTATTAGAGCTGCTACTGCTGACTTGAAAGCCCACATTTTTTAATCTGCTAAGGCTATACCAAATTATTATTAGGGAAAACTCCACATCCCTTCTGATAATCCCAGATCCCTGTGTATATAAACATCAAGAAAAACATTTGATTTTAAGTTTATTGTGAATTTTTTAAAAGATGCATTATTTTATTGGCCCCATTTTTATTCACAGTTTGGCTTCTATTTCTGAGTATATGTCTGTGTATATACTCAGTATAATAATGCAATAATACAAATGGGAGATATGTTGTATTTGTTTAAAAAAGAAAAACATTTTTATTTGATGCATTGTCTGGATAGAATGTCTCTTGGAAATTATGAAACAGATTTAGAGAGAATTTTGGGAGCATTTATCAAGATTTAAATTGTACATATGCTTTGACTCAGAAATTCCACTTATAGCAATTAGTTCAAGAAAAAATTGTACAAACACACAAAAGCCTGTTTATAAATAGCATTGTTTATAAATGAGAATAAGAAGACTTCTTCTACTTAAGTGTAGTTGACAATGTTAACATTAGTTTCAGGTGTAGCACATAGTGATTCAACTTCTCTATACTTTCTGCTGTGTTCACAAGTGTAGCTACCACCTGTCACCCACCACACAACACTATTAAAATACTATTAACTATACTCCCCATGCTGTACCTTTCATCCCCGTGACTTATTTTTCAATAGTCAGAAGCCTAAGAAATCAACTTTTTAAAATTTTATTTACTAACATGTTGGTAGATCCATATAATGGAATCCTATGCAGTCAGAACAAAACATGAGCTAAACTGGAAAAATATTGACATTTTTTAAGTGAATAAAGCAAACTACAGAACAATTTATGCCACATATTTCCACGTGTGCAAAAAAGTGTGTGTATGTGTGTGTGCGCTCATGTGTGCATGTACATGAAGATATTCACCAAACTGTTTTAAGTGATGCCCCCTGAGGGGAGTTCAGCAGATTGAGGGAGCAGAGACAGACACTGACCTTCACCTTCATCTCTCTTTGTACCCTTCTGAGGTGTTCAGATTATTCACAATTAGTATGTATTGCTTCTATAATAATTAGGTTCTTTAAAACAACTGAAAGAGTAAAGATTTACCCATAGCTCTTTAACATCAGTCTTTTCAAAAATATGCTACTTTGAAAATTTTAAGAACTTCTGAGCTCAGAATATATCTATTCTCTAGTAGCAAGGTGACCTTTTAAGAAGCACATTATAGAATTGAAAGCCAGAGTAGATGTCGCTAATCTAACTTTGTTTTATCAACATTTTCAGCAATGTCTTCAATGATCAGGAATCAAGAAAAGAGGATACAGAAAGTGAAAGACCAGGAAAAAATGTTACTAAAATGATACATTGCTTGCCTATTCTTTACAGAGGGATGATGCCCAATTAATTGTGGTATTGCTTATAATTAGTGCCCTGTGTACTTTTTTCTTTTTATGTGAAAATTTAATAAAAGACACCCTGTCCTGTAAACTCTATTTTGAAATAAACTATTCTTGAATGCTCTTACAGTAAAACCTCAAAACCGTTGTAGCTAGATGTGAAAGTATGCCTACCTTATAAGGTATTAATTTGTGCTAACACCAATGTGCCAGAATAATTTATTATCTTTACTAGTGCTTAAGCAATACTTACTCTTTTCAACTTTAAAAACAAAAACAAACTTCACATGCAAGTAAAATATGTGGTATAATGCCCAGAAGGACAAACTCCAGCTTGCTAACAGGGATTCCTTTTGTGATCCTGAACTCATCATTCCATTGGTATCAATGCATGTCATCAGATAACAGAACACTGGGGTCCCTAATCAAAACTTCTAGAAAGGTTTCTCTTTTATGTATTAATAACTATAAGGAAAGAAAGGGAAAAATGTATTCTTCTTCAGCCAGTGGGTAACTTCTAGATTGAATGGATTCAGTCTGCCTTAATGAGATTTTCTTAGATTAGGGGGGTTTTGTATGTGGAGTGCTTTCTAACACCAATAACTTAATTGTGGACACCAGCTAGGTGTCCTAAGGGTCATTTCAGTGCTAGCACTCCCCAGAGCTAGCATCAGATTCTACAGGTTTAAGAGTTCAGTCACACAAGACTGCACCCCACCTCAGGTGCAATTGCAAGTCCTGGGCCACATGTGTGTGACCGGCTATAAATTGGACTTCCCCACAATTCCCTCCTCAGTTTCACTACTTGCCAGAACAGATCACAGAACTCAGGAAAGTGCTTTATCTACTATTACTGGTTTATTTTCAAGGCAACGACTCAGGAACAGCAAAATGTAAGAGATGCACAGGGCAAAGTAGGACATTCTGGTACATGAAGAGTTCATGCCCTCTCAGGGCATGACACCCTCCCAGGACCCAGACATGTTTGCCAACTGGAAGCTCAGCAGATCTTCGAGAGTGTTTATAGAGCTTAATCTGCTGCCCCCCTCCCCTTCTGAGGCCAGCGGGGGGGTGGGAGTGGGGGTGCTGAAAGTTCCAGTCCTCTAATCACTTTTTCTGGCCTTCGTGCCAGAGACAACAGGACAATCCGGCAGAAGGGTAGCTGTCCAGAAAAGTCCACACTCCTGTTGCATGGTACAGATGCCACCGAGGAATGGCTGCTCAGCTAGAGGCTATTTCCCAGCCCCGGTGCCCCTCACGTGTACTGATCAGATCTCACTAAAGACTGTGGACAGAGCAGGATGTAGCACTTTCTGGCCAGACTCTTCAGTAAGCATCTGTGCCTTTCCTCACTGTATCTCCTCTTCCATGAGCTGGATACAGTGGACAGTGAGGTCCTAGGGGATGACAGAGCCCCAGGACAGAAGCAGCCTGGGTGACAGTCTGCAGTGAGAACTGCCCTTCTGCCAGAAACACCCACTGCTGATTACTTAGTGAGCAAGAAACAGGCTTCTGGTACAGCCTTAACAGGTATGGTGTCTGTCTGTGATGGCAGCTGGTTCAGTCCTAACCAGCACAGAGAATACATTAAATCCTGTTTCTCCTAAATGGCAGTGTTAACACTCTAAGCATGTCCAATTTTACAACAACTCTTTAAAATACAAAGTTTAATATATGTATCTCAAACAATTGGTTTTACTGAAAGATTAATTTTTATTTCATCAGGTAATGATAAAATTGCTAGTGAAAGAATTCTAAAGATATTTTTACTATAAATTGTTTTACCCTTAATTTTACATAATAGAAATGCTTGGGCATTCTGTGAAGTAACAATAAATGCTCTCTGAAGACTTTACTGGTAGAATATAAAATTCATTATGAAGAATATTAAAAGTATATGTGAATTTAACATACAGGCGCTATGAGCCAAAAACTTTTTTTCTTTAAGATTTTATTTATTTAAGAGAGAGAGAAGAACACAGAGGAAGAGGGAGAGGGAGAAGCAGACTCCCCACCCCCTTCCCCAGAGAGCCCCCTGTAGGGATCACTCCCAGGACCCTGAGCTCATGACCCAAGTCAAAGGCAGATTCCCAAATAACTGAGCCACCCAGGTGCCCCAAACTGTCATGTTCTTGTAGGCACTTCCTAATACTATTTTCCATTGGGTTTATGCTCTTTTCAGCAAAGTCTGCCTGTGACCAGGATTAAACACTGTTTTGCCAGAAGATGTTATACTTATTACAAGTTGTTTTAACATATAAAAATTCATTTTCAAGTATAGGCATGCATAATATCCTTCCAAACAAAGGTAGAGTTTCTTTTTTCTTTTTCTTTTTTTTTTTAATTTTTTTTTTTAATTTTTATTTATTTATGATAGTCACAGAGAGAGAGAGAGAGAGAGAGGCGCAGAGACATAGGTAGAGGGAGAAGCAGGCTCCATGTACCAGGAGCCCGATGTAGGATTCGATCCTGGGTCTCTAGGATCGCGCCCTGGGCCAAAGGCAGGCGCCAAACCGCTGCGCCACCCAGGGATCCCTTTCTTTTTCTTTTTTAAAGATTTTATTTCTTTATTTGACATAGAGCAAGAGAGAGAGCATGAGCAGGGGCCAGAGGGCTCAATCCCAGGACCCTGAGATCATGACCTGAGCCGAAGGTGGACACTTAACTGACTGAGCCATCCAGGTGCCCCTATTTCTTTTTCTTTCAAGAATTCATAGGTCACCTGGGTGGCTTAGTCGGTTAGGTGTCTGTCATCAGCTCAGGTCATGATCCCGGGGTTCTGGGATCAAGCCTCACATTGGGCTCCCTGCTTAGTGGGGAGTCTGCGTCTCTATCAAATAAATAAAATCCTTTAAATTTTTTTTTTTTATTTCACAGAGTGTGCATGAGCCTGGGGTGGGTTGGGGGGAGGCAAGTAGGGGCAGAAGGAGAGGGAGAAGCAGACTCTCCACTGAGCAGGGAGCCCAATACGGGGCTCCATACCAGGACCCTGGGATCATGACATGAGCCAAAGGCAGATGCTTAACCAACTGAGCCACACAAGTGCCCCCCAAAAGGTAAAGTTTATTTATTTTTTTAAGAGATTTTATGTATTTATTCATGAGAGACACACAGAGAGAGAGGCAGAGACACAGAGGGAGAAGCAGGCTCCATACAGGGAGCCCGATGTGGGACTCGATCCTGGGACTCCAGGATCACGCCCTGGGCCGAAGTCAGGTGCTAGACCGCTAGACCGCTGAGCCACCCAGGGATTCCCCAAAAGGTAAAGTTTAAAAAGGAATTCCAAAATGTTTTCTCTAAAGAGAGGAGAAAAACGGACCCCTCTTGCCTCTTGATGTTTGCTTTTTTCCTATGTGTCTGTTATTAGTGGAGGAAAATATTGGTATTTTATTTTACATCTAAGCTATTATGGTACTAAGGTTTAGATAAGTAATTCAGACATCAAATAAAGATATTAAAACTCACATTTGTTCAGTTATAATGAAGTTTAATTTCTTCTCAGAACAAAGTCGTACTTCTCTATCACTGTCCTGTTATAATTTTGTTACCCAAGATAGCTGTTGGTCTGAGAGGAGAGGGCTGGAGAAATGATTGCTATCAGTCCCTCTGTCAGTCCAGACCCGTGAGAGAACAGGAGCCAGGGGAGAGATGGTCCTACAAAGGCCCTAGAGGGACATGAATGCTGCAGTCCCTCCCAGCAGTAGTAGGAGCATCACTCAGGCCACTCACTCAGCCCACACTGGAATCCCATTCCCATTCCCTCTCTCCTCTTGGCTCCTCCCAATGACTGACTCTAACTAGGCCCCTTGTTTCTACACCAGTTTGCCATCATTAAGACAAAGACCTACTTGCTACCTTCAAACCATAACTAGCAGGTAAAATCAAGCAAAACAAAGTAAAACATTGGGAAGTCTTACAAGTTCATATCCTTGGTAATCACATCTTGCGACCAGATATTTCTGATCACAGTTGCATATGGCATTATTTTTAAATAAAAGTTGTGCATGGGGCAGCCCGGGTGGCTCAGCAGTTTAGCGCCACCTTCAGCCTGATCCTGGAGACTGGGGATCAAGTCCCACATCAGGCTCCCTGCATGGAGTCTGCTTCTCCCTCTGCCTGTGTCTCTGCCTCTCCCTCTCTCTCTCATGAATAAATAAAATCTTTAAAAAAAAAAAAAGTTGCGCATGTAGTAATAGAGTTTCTCCAGTTGTACCAATAGGAAAGCAGCTCTTTTTGAATGAGACTTGTTTCACTCCCTGGGTTTAAGGATTACCCACCCAAAGGCTCAAGCTTGAACCCTGGGCAGCCAGTTGGTTTTGCTACGCCCAGGCCAGTCCACACCAGAAGCTTAGCCAAGTCATTCCCCAAGAGGACCAAGCCCTGAAGTAACGATGGATCAGCGAAAATCCACCCATCAACACCACAGGAAAAAAAAGTCCATGCTCACTGGAAGCATTATCTACATTATATTTCTGCATGTCAGATGCAAGCCACTGGCAAATTTGAAACAACTCTGATGGCTAAATTTGGAGTTCTACTTTATTTAAAATTATTCAGTGTGCTCCACAAACTTAACCTTTTCCAGATTCTACAACAGCTTCTCCACTACTTTGAAAACAATCAGGGAATCCCCCACCACTTTTGTACCACTTTATCCTCACCGCCAGTCTCCAGGAACCTATTGCTACATTCTTCCCAGCGGGTAATCTCCCCATTTTCTACGACTACAAACTTCCATTCCACCACTATATCTGCAGGCAGGGACACAGAACGACACCAGAACCCATCCTTGCTATACTGGAGTGGGAGGTAGGTATTCCACCTTCCAAGACTCTTGTGATCTCCAGTGATTGCAATACATTGCTTACCAGTGCTTGTGATATAATGGATCTGGAACCTGATGCTAACTTGCTGGGACCCCGTAACCACCGCTACCACCTTTTTCCGTTTCACATCCGCTTCCTGACCTCTTGGTTCCACAAGAGTGCTTCTGCCACAGTCCATTTCCTGGTTTGGGCTTACCACTGGAGCCTCAAGGCTGCCACCCAAAGCAGCATCTCCCCAGGATGAGTGCCTCGACACCATTTCCCAGTCCTCATTGTCAGCCCGGTCCTGATTGCTCAGCTGTGCAAGGCTCACTTCTTTCGCTCTGTCAATGACCAGGTTGCTAGAATACAACTTTTCTGCAAAACAGGAAGCTACATTAGCAAGTGTCTCTTGTCCTTTCTGGAATCCCCATTCTCTTATAGCAGATTCAAGGCTTTCATTTCTTGAAACTTCAGAGTAACCCCGAGAGTTACCAGTCTCAGATGTAGCTAGAGATTCTGTGGCTGGAAACCCTCCAGAAGGAACATGCTCTCTTGAACTGTTGCAACCACTGTCTTTTCCAGAAGGACTCTGTAGTCTCCATGCTGCTTCCTGCAAGTTACCATGGCCTTTGGTCTCTGAAACCAAACATCCATTGCTTTCTTGAAGATGCTCTAAAAAACAAAAGGAAAAATGTAATAGTGTTAGGCAGTTCTTGTGAGAAAAGAGGCTGAGAAAATAGATTTAGTTGTTGAAGACTTTATCATTAATGTATCTGCAGTTCACAAAATGCATCTCGATTCAAAGCAAGTACTTAATTACCCAGTTCAGACACTAATTGCACCAACAGTGTACTTTAAGAGTATGCATGTGGATCCAGTAATAAAGGGCATATCCGGGAGCATCAGTGTGCCCACCCAAGAGTGTAAATGAAGTGGCAAGTGTAGAAGCAGACTTGTGACCCTGTCATGGTCCTCAATCCCCACAGTCTAGACCATACTGGCATGCAGCCACATTGTTCTGCTATCATCAAAAAATGTTGTTCCGGCAAAGATCCGCATGGCTACCCTACAGACCCTAAGAGTACACTTGCACTCCCAGGAACTGCATGCATACTGGGGATCGGCTCTTACAGATGTGGGCAGATCCCCAGCAGCTGACACTGTGGGGGAATACAAAGAACAGTGGTGAATCATTGTGCAAGAGTTGGGGGTGATGGTGGGGGAAGAGGACTGGTTTCTCTTTGCCAACCCCATATGCGTTAGGAATATCTTCAACAAAAATAGGCTTTTTACATCCCCACAGGGACTGTTCACTTTTTAAAAAAATGTTCTCACCGTACACAATCCAAGCTCCCTAAAGGCTCGGTTTCCTTCTTGGACACCTCACTCTCAGTCGGAATAGCTCCCTACAAGACCGAAATCTCCGAAGTCATACAATCAGCACAGATGCGAGCGGGGGGGGGGGGGGGGGGGGGGTGTCTGTGAGGGTTTGGCCTTGTTTAATTTTGCCTCTTTTTAATGGGGTTGTGAGACATAAACATTACCCTGAATTCCTAATCTTTCAACCCAAAACATGAGGCTGGCTTTCAGAAGAAGATAGATGAGCTCTCTGCTCATCCCAAACCAATTGTGGGAAAGGCACAGAGGCAGATCTTTAAATGGCTACACATGAACACCGACTGCACTAAAAATAAAGTTCCCAGGTGTCATTTTCACCAGTCGGGCGGAGCCCAGGCACGGGCAGCTGGCCCAGCGAGGGCACTGGAAGCTGCGGTTTTCTGCCAGCGTCCTTACTTTGGCTATCACAGTCGCCAGCGTGTACACACGTGAACCTGGGTGTCAGTCCGCCTCACTGGAGTTGGAGCCCCTGTTAGGTGGGCCCCTTCGGGGACCTGCGCCCCCGGCCCGGGAGCTCTGAAAGCGCGGCCGGCACTGAGCCCCGAGGCTTCAGCCGAGGCCTTGGTGGCCGGAGTCCAACCTGAACTTTGCCTCGCGGACAGAAGCGTCCAGGTGGCGGGAGGGGCCCACAGCCTGGGTGTTCCCCAAGCCGGCGCGGGGTGGGGGCCGTCGGCCGCGGGACTGGGGCAGGGCGAGTGCCCCTGCTCGGTGTGAGACCGAAGGGGGTTGCAGGACCCCCTGAACCTGGGCGCCCCCAGGCCGGGGCCGGCGGGCGGCGGGAACCGGGGGCGCTGCCCTGGGACGGCGGCCCGGGACCCTCCGGGGCGCCCCTGGGAGCTGCGGGGCTGCGCGGGGCTGCGCGGGGCTGCGCGGGGCTGCGCGGGGCGCGGCGTGGGGAGGGTCGCGCCGGGCCGGGAGGCTCGTCAGGCTGCAGGCGGCTTCCGTCCCCGCCCGGCGACCCTGGAGCCCCGCGGAAGCGCCTTCGCGACGCGGGGAAGAGTACCTGGCGTGGCGGCCAGCTCCCGCCCGGAGGGCCCCGGAGCCGCGGCGTCCCCCGCAGCGCCGTCCTTCTGCGCCGGGTCGCCCTCCGTCGCCGCGTCCCGCAGCAGCCAGACGAAAATCGCCCCGGCCAGGCCGCCCCCCACCAGCAGGGCGGACCAGACGGCGCCCATGGCCGAGAGGCCGCAGCAGCGGGGACGCGGCGCCCGGACGCGGCTCGGGTCGCGGGCACCGCCGCACCTGCCCCGCCCGCCCCAGCCTGCGGCGGTCCCTGCGGCCCGCGCCCCCGCGGAGCCCAGCCCTCGGCGACCCACGGCGGCCTCCCGCCCCGCCCCGCCCCGCCCCGCGCGCCCCGCCCCGCCCCGCGCACCCCGGGCTGCAGCCCGGAGCCGCGGCCGGGCGGAGACTCGAGCGCCCTCCCCCTCCGCACGCCCCTCCCCGACCTCGCCGGGTCCGCGCCGCCCGCGTGGGGCCCTGGGCGCCTCCTCCCGTGGACTCTCCGCGGCGGCGCGGCCGGCCAGGGGCGGGGCTCCCGGGGACTCAGACGCCGGAGGCGGACGGGCGCGGGGAGCGGGGCCTCCGCAGCCCCCCCCCCCGTGAGGCCCATCCAGCCATCGGTGCCGCTCGTCGCAACCGCATCCAGTCGGGGCTGCTTCCTCGACCTCTTCTTGGGGTGCGTGGTGGTTGCAAAACGCGTGCCCTCTGGTCCGGACTGGACATGGCCCAGGGACACGCTCCTACGGATGGTTTTAATAGAAACAGCGACCCTCTTTGTTAAGCGCTGCGGGGAAGTATGTGTTTAACTAGATCCTCGCAAATCCAACAGCCGCGTGAGAAAAGAATCACACAGTCTTGCGGATTCACTCCTCCGTTGCTGTGATGCCTTTACACACCAGCTTCAAGCTGCCCATCGCCGCGTTCGTGTCTGCAGCTGGAGCCTCTCGCCTGAACCGCACGCACTTCTGCACCCACCTGCTAAGGCCGCCGGGCAAAGACCGCCCGGGAGGAACGAACTAAAGGGCTCCCTCTGGCAAAGCAGATCGTTCAAAGGGGCCCCACGTTCGGGCACACGGCAGCCCCTGGCCGGGTTCCTGCAGGGCTGGGGCGTGCCTCCCTCGGGTCGGGTCACGACGCCTGCAAATGCTAAGGGACCGGGGAGAGGCAAGGGGGTAAGGAGACGCCCAAACCCAGCTCCCTGGGTGTGACTTCCTACCCCCTCCCCAAACCCGCCGCTGCCCCGCCCACGGCAGCCCGACAACCAAGTGGCAGCCACACCCTTCCCCAGGGATGGGACCCCGACAATGTCCAGTCGCCCTCTGCTACTGTTCCTCCCCTCTCACAGTCGGCAGGAAGTAGCAAGCTGCTGCTCTTTCTGCGAAATCCTACATCAAGAATTCTACTTCTCCGGGCGCCTGGGTGGCTCAGCGCTTGAGCATCTGCCTCCGGCCCAGGGTGTGACCCCAGGGTCGTGGGATCGAGTCCCCCATCGGGCTCCCCGCAGGGAGCCTGCTTCTCCCTCTGCCTGTGTCTCTGCCGCTCTCAGTGTGTCTCTCATGAATAAGTAAGTAAAATCTTTTTTAAAAGAGAAAGAATTTACTTCTCTGCTCTAAGTGACCCCCTGGTCTGTCACCAGCACCTCTCCCTTGGATTATGGCCGGGCCGCTCTCTCCGCTTCCGCCCTGGAGCCTCTGCAGGCTACTTTCCAAGCAGCAGTCGGAATGACTCCTTAAAGCATCCTCAGAGCCTCTGCCCAGGACCCTCAATTGCTCGGTATCTCAGGACAAAAGACCCGGTTAGTTCTCAACCTTCTAGGAGCTTCTCAGGTGTGACCTGAAGCCCGCCCTAATGTGGGCAGCACGGGGAGAAGCTGCAGACAGAGGCAAAGCACTCCAGATTGGTAGGTGGCCGTTTTCATAGGCAGGGGGCTCAGGAGGCCTGACTGGGCCCTGAAAGGTGAGCCGATGAGTCTGCAGACATCCAGCCACATAACTAACCCTCCCTGCTCCCTCACCCTCTACAGCCGTTTGCACAAGGCTGTTCTGCCCCCTGAGCCCTTCCCCGATAATCCCAATTTTAATCACAACCCCCTCCTCCCTAGACCCTTCTCTGCTTTATTTTTCTCCTGAGTATTTAGGGCATCACTTCTAATACACTGTAGAATCCAGGGATTTGTTCTGGTTGATTTCTTTCCTTATCTTCAGATAAACTACATGAAAGCAGATTTTATTGTCCTTTGTTCTCTGCTGAATTCAGAACATTCCCAGACTGGTCCCTCAAAAAGTACAGGTTGAGTGAATGGATCAAAAGCTCCAAGTATTCCCAGTCAAGAGCTTAATGCCATCCTCTTCATATAGGTTCTATTTGCATTTTTTTTTTTTTTTAGCACGATGTAGGTGCTATTTTTTTGTTAAGTAGGTTTCCTGTCTTAAACAAATTAGGAAGTCAATGATGAGCTTTTTAAAGACCTCTAAAAATATATTTTTAAAATATTTTATTTATTTACTCATGAGAGACACAGAAAGAGAGGCAAAGACATAGGCAGGCAGCTCTGCAGAGAGCCTGATGCAGGACTTAATCCCAGGACCCGGGGATCATGACCTGAGCTGAATGCAGATGCTCAACCATTGAGTCACCCAGGTGCCCTTGGACCGCTAAAATTTAAAACCACTAACAACAGCCATTCATCTCAATTCAGGCAACTTTAAGATTAAAAAAAGAAAATCTTGAGACGAATTGAAAATACTAAAAAGTGATATCAAAGCTGTATTTTTAAGAAAGTGAATGTCACTGTATAAAATAACATTTTTGGGACGCCTGGGTGGCTCAGTGGTTTAGTGCCTGTCTTCAGCCCAGGGGGTGATCCTGGAGTCCTGGGATCGGGTCCCTCATCAGTCTCCCTGCATGGAGCCTGCTTCTCCCTCTGCCTGTGTCTCTGCCTCTCTCTGTTTCTCTCATGAATGAATAAATAAAATCTTTTAAAAATAAATAATAAAATAAAATAACATTCTCATGGACTCTTACTAATTCATTCTTAAGTCATAAGACTATTATAGCTCTAATTTTTTAATGGTCAGAATTTTGTAGAAAATTTTAGAATTTATCTCCTTTTGTCAAAGTAAAACTTAATGTCATAGGATGTCCTTGAATTTTACAAACTCTAAAACAAGTAGAGTGATTTTATATATAGTATGAAAATTCTTCAACATTTTCTTTTTATTTCCTTACTGATAACTTTGTGAGCTGCTTCATTGGTCAAAGTTTCTTTATCAATGTGCTCACAAATGAAACCTCAATGGATCTGTAAAATCAGAGAAAGCAAGCCCCATTATCCATTTCTAATAACTAGAAGGTTCTTAGTAAAAGTTTATTGTCATCAATCGCTATTTATTAAAAATATAACCAGTAAATGATGTAGTTCTTTCCACCCATCAGAATTCTTTCTATCTTGCATCATATTTCTCATGCAACATTTTAAAAGAACATTATTTGTCTTTCCTTTTGGCTTTTCTAAACTTAAATGTTGACTCATTGATTTCTGTGTTGCTGCTTTAAAAAAAAAATAAAGGCAGTACTCCACTCACTACCATATTTCTTAGAAGTCTGGCTACATATTCTAAAAACATGTTTATCACAGTAACTGTACCATGTTTATCACTATACAGTTGCAAACATTGTTGCTTTTATATAGAAGTCCTTTGAGCCTAGGAAGACAGAAACAGAAGAGAAAGGCAGATTCAGTAGAAACAGGGGAGGAAGATGATGCATTCTCCTGGGATGGGTTAAATTTGAGGCAATAGCAGGAAGCTGAAATTGGGGGCATGTAGTTTAATGAGATATTGGAAATTCCTCACAGAGAGGTAGCAGTCAAATCTGTGGTAGAGATTAATGTTACAAAATAAAAAAATGAGCTTCAGCCGTTGGCATAATTTCAAGAAGATTGGAAAGCTGTCCCCCATTGCCACTAATGTTGCTATTATATCTTTATATTATATTTTAGGGGCCATAATGTAGTGCCCACTTTCTAATTGATTACTAAGCTATTAGGAAGAGTATAAATAGATATAGATATGGATGGGTATTTTAAGTTTATATATTAAGTATACTTATATATTTTAAGTATATATATGTATATGAGATGTATATATGACATATATAAAAATTTAAAATATCCAATATACATATTAGGGAGTCAATGATGGACTTTTCAAGACCATTTACATTTATTCATACTTATATGTAATATGTTAGTATTATTCTCTATACATATGTGTATACTTTTATGTAACTTATTTTTTTTCTTTAACTTCATGCAAGAAAATATTCCTCCCTCCTTGTGTGGAAGGATGAAGACAGAACAATTAAAACCTTTGTTTGCAGGGCTGGAGGATTAAAGAGGATGGGAAGGAAGAGTTAGGGAAGAGAAAACAGGGAGTCTTATTTCCAAAGTCAGTGCAAGAAGGTGATGGGAAGGGGAGAGGGGGTGTCACTCAGCAGAATTTAAGAGGATAGAGGATTAAAAAAGAAGTGATTGGATTTGACATATAGGAGGTCATCGACTTTACTGAATTTGTGAGGGTAAGCATCCAAATTTGGAAGGCTGAGGTGTAAATGTGGTGAAGGCTATGAAGTCAACACTGAGTTAGCCCTCTCTCCAGAAATTTGGAGCTGGGACGTCTGGATGGCTCAGCCATTGAGCATCTGCCTTTGGCTCAAGGCATGATCCCGGGGTCCTGGGATCGAGGCCCACATCGGGCTCCCTGCATGGAGGCTGCTTCTCCTTCAGCCTACATCTCTGCCTCTCTCTCTGTGTCTCTCATGAATAAACAAATAAAATCTTTTTTTTTTTTTAAAGAAATTTGGAGGCTAAGGGTGGGAAAGAAATAGAAGTATCCTTTAAGAATAGAACAAGGTCCAAAGGAATTTCTTTCAGACCAAGAAAGACCTACCCAGGCATGTTTGTAAGGAGGAAAGAGCCAGCGAAGTCTGAAAATTAATAAAAGGAAAACCTCCTTTAAAATGGAGTTGGGAAGACAGAAGGGAGAGCTCCATCTGTGATCAACTGGAGATCTAACCAGAAGGACCCACCAGTGATACAACTTGAGCTACTAGTGCACCAGCCCACCAGGAGGAAGAAATGTTTCTCTTTCCCAGCAACAGGCCAGCCAATGAGAGACTGTCACCACTCAGCCAATGAGAAGCCGTTATACTTCCATCTCCCGGTTTACTCCAATGGACTTTTTGTTAATAGTCCTCCCAACTTGCCCCTTTCCTCTATAA